TGGGCGTGGAAGGGGGCGCCAAAGTGGGTGGTGTGCGGAGGGAGGCCATTCAGCTGGCTCGTGTGTGTTTATTTTCGTAAATTTTTAGATTGTCGCTCGGCGGATATGTCGGCGGCATCTCCTATATATCTTTTCCTCGTGTCTTTTTTAATATTTGTCGCACGCATGACAGGCCAAATAAAATAAAAAAACAAAAACAACAATAATTATACGTTAATAACGGAAAGTTTTTGGCTAATGTATTCAGTGAATGAATGTCAAGAATTTGTGGGCGTCCTTTCACAGATAAAAACTACACTACATACCCATTGCTAAAGCCTTATATGAAAAAAAAACTAACAAAAAATATGCACATCTAGAATAGTTTATTAGCTCAAAGATGTTACACAAATTTAATTGATTTTGCATATGCCTCATAAAATCGAAGAAGTCCTTCTAGGGTTAAGAAATTGCCACTTAACCATTTTTGTTATGCGGCTGTTAACCTTCCCGGAGTTGTTAGATGGCTGTTGTTGCTGTTGCTGTTGCCTTGGGCACTGTTTTCGTTAATTTCGTTTATGAGCTTGCAATTAAAGCGTTTTGCTTTTTTATTTGTATATTAATTAGTGTACTTACACAGAAATGCGGCTGCCAAAGGTCAAAATAGCCCAGAAGATATCCAGCAAAAAAGATAATTATTTGTCCTCTGCCGTTCTCTCTCTCTCTCTCTGTCTCGCTCACTTTGTGTATTCGTTGATCAAGGCGCGTTTATCTCTCGCGCTCTCTCCTTCCCTCTTCCGCTATCGTCGATGTTGTTGTTATTCCTTTTGCTTCCCCTTTCTTCCAGCTCTTTCGATTTCCAGTTTCCGCTTGATAAATTGCTTTCATAATTTACAAAGATCCCAACGAATTTGAATTCTCCATGCACACCTGGTTATTTATTAGTGTGCGAGTGTGTATTTGTGACTGGCGATGACGTCGTCGTGCGGCAACAGACGAATTCCACTTCAAAGCGGCCGCACTTTCTCATTTTTCAACTCGAATTAGCGATCACCGGTAAATACGCGCCGGCCTGGAAAAGTTCACCCGGTTTTCCAGCCTTTGCGCTTCGATTTATCCACTTCGCGAACTTATAAGCAGGGAAAAAATAAAAATACGTCCGCAAAAAGCAAAAATGTTCGTTGATGAGTCGTTCGCGCATAGAGATGGGGAAAATTCGACTCCAACGTCGATAGCATCGACATTTTCAAACTATCGGACCTATCGATGTTTGGCGGGGTTCATCGATGTTTTTATTTGAGCCACCGCTTGCGTCTATCCAAGTTACCCACCAAGTGCCTAATTTCGCTGATCGGCGGATGAATTCAGTGTTGGGAAATACACAAAGAACACTTGCTATAAATAATTTTTAAATCCACCATAAAATTTTTTTGAACCACAAAATACGGTTTTAAAGTTAATCGAAACAACAGCTTATAAAGCTTGGTGGATATGAAAGGCACTGGAGACTACAACTTTGGTTTAAATAGTTTTTTAGCTCAACAAGAACTTTCTTAATAATATAAGAATAAAATATTTCAGACAAAATTTACTTTCTTCTCATTAAAAAATTTGTGTTTTTTTTACTTTTATATATTATATAGAAATTTTGAATTTACTTAAGCTTTGGCGAAGATTAACAATGGTCTCCATTAACATTTCAGCTTTGTACTCAAATATATAAATGTAATTTTCGAACAAAAGACAAAAAAAACCGACGCTTTTTATTTCTATTTTTGGAAGAACAATGTCTGAATTTGTAGACGAAATATTAATTTAATTTTTGTGGACGGGAAACCGCCTGAGCAGCGAAAATCTTATTAGGAACACCTACAAAGGCGATTTCCCAGCCGGCGGCGTAATTCTAATTGGATTAGTAAGCGAAGCCGGCAAGGAAGAATTTTAGGACCCGGACCCGGACCTTCTGCTCTTGACCACGGGATTTTTTGTTGGTCGTCGGTCTCATTACCACTACCCCGCCCCCCGGACACCGCTTAAATTGATTGAAAAACCGCCCCTTAATCGATATTTATGGCCAGCCATGAGTAATTCAAATAGACGCCTCTCATTAGTAGGCGAAGGCGAAATGTAAAAAATGTTTAGCTAACAATCCGGTTCCGCGAGGAGAAATAGCTGAGATGAGTGCGCCTCATTACGAATGCCCTGGCCACAAATTGCACTTAATTGGGTGTGTTGAATAGTGTAAAAATTGATGTAAATTAAATTCAGCCCAAGGATCGTCGTGGCTGTGAAAATTAAATTGGAGAGTTCGTTGTGCCTTGGGTAATCATCTAAATGCTGGCTTGCCGGCTAATTAGGCACAAAAGGTAGGCGAAATTCATATGCAAATGCCAAATAGAGTTGTTAACAAACAAGTTTCGAGCCAAATAGAATTTAAAGTTTATTCCCCAAGTGTGTGACAATCCGCCAATTAATTTGGAAATCAAAAGAGAGCTGGAGCGCATAATTTATGCATTTCAAACTCACAAAACGAAGAAAGAAAGCAACGGAACTCTTTGTCATATCGCTTAAGAGATATGATAATGGTTCGTTATCAACAGCATTTCATAATAAATAAATCAAAAGAAAGGCGAGAGAGAGAGGGAAGCAAGTTGAATAACAAAGTTAAGTTCTGGTCAGCTTATAAAGTCGCAATGACCGTCAATATATTGGAAATTACATCGTAAAATTGAGAGCGGCGAACGAAAAACAGAAATTACACTGAGAATGTTAATCATCTTAATTAAGTTAATATGCGGGGTGGTTAAGTGTTAACTGAACTTGGCTCAATGGGGTCAGCAGCCAAACAAATTGAATACGAGGTCAATGGGGGAAAGTTGGAAAACAGGTGTGCGGGGTGGGGTTCGAAGGTAAATTTCCCCCTTTCGAAAATCCGCTTAATTAAACGAAAGTTAAGACCCAACCAAATCAAAATCGATTGGAAAATGCCAAACCAAAGCGCCCATTGAGTAATCCTCCATCGACCATAATTATTTTAATAGTTTTGACATTTAAACGACAAATTAAAATGGAATAAATGCAAAATAAGCGTAATAAATTTTAATTGCTGATTCGCGTACCGCACCCCGCCCCATCTTTTTCTCACTGGCAGCTGTTGCACTGATTATAATTTTATTATTATTTATTTATTTCCCATTTTTTATTGCATAATTAATTGTTGTCGTTCGAGTGGCAAACAATTAAATAATAAATCAGTTTTGAACAATCATTTAATTATGTAAAATATGGATGAATGAGATGAAATGATTTTGGATTAAAGGCTTGCAATTATTCAAGTCTCTCCATTTGCCATAAACTGTTAAATACAATTTGCCATTGTTGCAAATGTCAACCCGACACGGCACAAACAAAAGGAGTTGGCAAATGGATTACGATTTCAATCGCGAACGAATCGCTAGTGCATTATCCATTTGCCACGTTCTCTGGCATTTCACATCATTGTTCTTCAATGGAAAATCAATAAACTAAACCATTAAACATTAATCCCATTTAATTAGACAACCAGCATTGCTTTGGCATTTCCCATCTAACGGTAGCAGCATATCGCTGTTGTTATTTCTGCTCTTGTGGCCATCGACACCAATTGTCAACGATATCGATCTCTGAGTGGCAACAGGTGAGTGACTCCGACTCCGGACTGGTTTCCTTTCGACACTCAAGTCGGGGGAGCAGGCCTTAATAACACCTCTCCCGATGACCGGTGTAATGGCCAGTGTTTAGCACTCTAATGGAGCCATCCCAGCCGCAGAACCGAAACCGCAGACCGCTCTTAAACTGGAACTAGATCAGTGCAATTATGCGGTGTTCCCTTGATTATTACAATTAGGATTGGGTAAACTGGAGTTAGGGAAATCTGGTCATTTATGATTGCGGTTGATTGAAATCGATGGACTAACATTATAAATTCCAGCGTACATAGTGGTTATCTTAGGCATTCTAAATTAACCCCAAGAATTGAAAAACTAATCGAAAGAGTGAGTTGGTTTTCAGTGAAGATAGCGCTTTGGTGCACAATTTAAAAACTAAAGTGGAAAAGCTTATATGAGTGAGAGATTGGTATAGATTTACGATTACGTTAAGCTAATTCTATTTATAACAACTAGCAGAAGAGTTAATTTATCAATAATGGATACGAACTAAAATGTCAATTCGTCAGAGTTTTTTTTAAATTCATTATCTGTTTTAAATAAATTGCTATACTTGACAAATTAATAAGCAACTAATTTGAAATGGAAATGCGTTAGAATGCAAACTGGTCTTATAACGAATTCCTGAGAGTATTTTTGTAATGTCAACTGTAGGCTGCTATGCGTTGGAATTCATTCACAGCTGCCTTATATGTTACTATACCGACTGTATGTATCACACCCAGTTTCCTTTGCCTAACCCAATTATTGTTATCCAAAGCCCAGGGCTTAGTCACCACCACCCCAAGCTCATTTCATTCACCATCAACCTGATCAGTCACCTTTACCCACTGCCGCCCCCAATTATATATCTCGCAGTTATGTATCCACTCGGTATCCCCAAGCTCTCGAGTGACTCATCGGGGGGATCTACGTTATAAAGAACATTCAGAGAAAAGCCACACCAGAAACGAAAAAAAAAACAACGAACTGCGACAACGGCAAAAAGAAATCAATGTGCGGCTTGTCGACTTTGGGACGCTCCTGAGTCATAAAACCCCAGCTTAGCAAAGTCCTCGAAAATAAAAAAATAAAAACAATATAGCCAAGAATGAGGAAGAACAGCCGCATAGCTGGGTTATGAGTTCAATAAATGGGCGAGGAATAAATAACTTATAGTTTGTGTATTAAAGCATGTGTAATTACAAGGGGCGTATGTATGCGTAGTCTTAAATATTTGTGTTTATTGATAAGCTTATTGGGGTCAAAGGGGGCAATAAACAGTTATCTGTCTTGATGGCATTCCATATGCGGTTTATGGTGGCCAAAACTTACCGTTTTCTTGTATAAACAATGCCGAGGTAATCCCAAGTTTGGCTTCTGTTATTGTTGCTTTGCTCGCCACTGATGGATAGTAAAATTTATATTTCAAGCACGTGTCATTTGATTATTTTTGGTCACCGCAATCTTGACAGTGGAGTGGGTGGTGGGGCGTTGTGGGGTGGTGCACCCACAAGACAAAGCGTAAATAGTTTAACACTGCACAACGGTAAACACAATGCGACACTTAATAAACAAGTTAGCCCGAACGATACGACAACGAATAATACGAAAACGAACAGAAGTAGCTCGCGACGATCACAACGTGCGCGTCTGCGTTCTTCGAGTGCTGGGAGTCGAATGAAATGAAATGAGGAGGCTATAGACTTCCGATTCCAAGGGAGGGTGGCCGACTCGGCCAGAGCCACAGCCAGAGAGCCGGCGGAGTCATATTACCTGGGTGAGCAAGGTAGGCAGTGCAGCCAGCTAGGCTCTTTTATAGCCAGACACTAATATTTAGAAATTATAATTATTTTAAAATAAGGTGCTATGACAATTCCAACTAAGGTCTGCAAAAAGTTAAAGATATTTTATTAAGAATTCCAATAGAATCAGTTAAGAAATATAATCTAAGGTTAGAAACAATTATTTGTGCTTTGTTAATGTTTAGCTTTTTAATTTTTGAACCAGCTTTTTTTTTTAGCTACTTTTCATATGAGGTGTGCTATACTCTCTCGCCGGCAATCCTCCCTCTCCCTTTCTTCGTACTCTCTCTCTCTCTCTCTCTGTTTGTTTAATCATAATGTACACACGCTCCGCATAATGAAGAGCATTGTTCGCTTTGTCGCGTTCGTTGTTGTAGTAGTTGGTGGTGGTTTATGTTTTTGTTGCTATTTCGCTTTCTTATCACCCGCTCTCTCACTCTCTTTTAGCCAGCTGTTCGGTAGCAATTTCAAAGGTGCGATCTCTCCTCCCCCTCTCTCTCGTATTTGCTACGCATGCGCAGCTGCCTGAGATTCAGATTTTTTTTTTTTGATTGGGTTCTATTGTTATTGTTGCTCTCTGATTTAATGCGAATTTTTGGCGCTATCTTAGGGGTGTTATCATCGTGGAAATACATTCTACGACTATTTTAACCCTTCGGTATTTCCGCTTCGAAATTTGTTTGTTAACTTCGAAGGGGGCTGATTAGATTACCTAAACTTTTAAGGGGCCAGTAAATATCGCCCATTCATGAACGACCAAGGCTCATAAAACGGAAATTTGACACAAATACGACTTTTGTAACTCTGAAATTATGAGCAATCTTCAGCAATTAAGCAATTGAACAATTGGTGCAAACATTATTAAAGACTTAAGAGATCGCCCACAGGCGGTAGAAATAATTAAGAGCAGCCCACGAGGTGTTTTCTGTTTTTGCCTTTGCCAATTTGAAGCAATTTCCAAATTGCGAAAGTGGATAAAACAGTTGGGTTGATGAGCATAGATGGAGGGGTGGGCGGGTATAAAAAGCCAAGTAAGCAAATTAAAACCGAAAACAACTGATGAACGAAGTGCACTGGGACAAATAATGGTCGATTGCCTATCTTGCCCAGAATTCATACCTAAATAGTTAACAAGAATAGATCAACAATAGACAACCATTAACATATAAACATATTATATTGAACCGTTACATAAACATGTGTAAACATTTTATTATAGTAATAAATATTTGGGATATTCAATGCAAATAGTTACAAAAACAAATGTCGTTTAACTGTTCCTATGCAACAAAAAAAAAACTGAACTGACTAAATATTCGGATGTGACTGATAATTGTGTGAGTTGTAAAAGCTTTCAGCAAGTTGAAAACTAAAAACGAATTGGCTTTTTATTGACATTTATTTATTTTATTTGTTTGTTGACAGCAGAGCTAAACTTTTTTATTGATATGAAATGGCATGACATTGACCCCCAAACTTTTCAGTGTGGAGCCTCACAAAAAGAGACTGTATTGGGGGCAAAAGGAGTTCAGAGTGCACAAGAATGGAATTTCCCCCATTCGTTGTCAATGTAATTTGTCAGTTCAAAGACCCTGTGCGACACGAAGACTCCGTTCTCCGTACTTTTTATACCATGTTACCGGGATGCACAAGGACCCGGATTCTACGTGCAAGATGTTTACATGGCGGCGTTGCGCTGACAAATGTGCCAAGTGTGCGGACGTGAGCCCAGATCCTAGGGCCAAGAAAGCATATTCCGAGTCGAGTGCAGCTAAAAAATGTAATCAATGTATTTTTGTCACGTTAACGAAATGCACGAGCCTCACAGCTCAGCTCAACTCAGTTCAGCCGGCACAGCTGTCTGAGAAGAACACAGAAAAATGCATTATCCAAAAAAAAATTTTTTTTCATTTGAGAATAATAATTGCATTTTTTTAGGATATGGATTTTAGATTTAAAATAATAAATAAACAATTTATACTACTAAAAAAATTTCAAATTTACTATTTATCATTAAAAAGCGTTATCCATTTCACGCTTTAGGCATATAAAATGTCCTCAGCAGTAAAGGGATTCTTAACTAAAGTTTTATTTTCATTTAAAAAAAAAATGTTTTTAATTTAGATACAAAAAACCTAATAATATTTTCTAAATCTTAGAAACAACATCGCACTTTTATCAGTGTGGTTTTATTTCCTTTCTGCGCTCGACAAACATAAATTGTGTCTGTCCTTTAGTCGGTTTTGTCGAACTGCCTGAATTTGCACGGCATGACAGCAACAACAACTGTAAGTACAAGTATGACTGCAACTACAACTACAACCACAAACACAACTCCGACTGCAGATGACGGTGAAGAATGAGTCCAAATCCCAGGCAGCGGCACAAAGGATTGTCAGGGAGAAATGTCACTTTGTTTGGCAGCAATTATCCCCAGAGTTGAATGAGCATTGACTGAGCCGGCGAATGAGTCTGCGTCTGCCAAGGATTGTGATTCAGATTTAGATTCTGAGACTATGGCTGAGTCTGAGTCCCGAATTCTGGGCAGCTGCTGCCAGTCTTTGGCGCGAGCTAGTCTGCAATTGCCCTACAGTGGGCACTTCCTAAGGGTTGCTGTGATTTAGCTGCAGCAGATGGGATGTGAAAAAGGAAAGAAGACAAGCCATAGTGTTGCGTAATTGCAGCCTTCATGTTTTGTTAAATAGCTAAAATTAAAAACAGCATTAATAAAATCAATAACTAATGCTCCTATTGTCACATTGCAAGCAAGTTATTAAAATTAAGTAAATTATTCAATAAATTGCTTCAGGATTATCGTTTATTGTTATCGAGGAGGTACTGCAATCAGCTAGCGTACCGTTGCTCAATCGCATATTGTACCATAGTACTTCCCTTGATCTCTCTTTTCGCTGGCAGTGATGTGTGCCTTATGCCACGACTTCCTCCCCGAAAAAGCAGAGCCCAGAGCGAAGAAAACTTAAGTGCATTTGTGGCACTGTGAGTCGCGTCGTCTGCCAGCTGTCTGCACCCCCTGCATCGGTCTCCTTTCCCCCTACCCCCTACCCCCTACCCACTACCCTCTACCCTCTCGCTCTGTCGCATTCCTACCCCCATGTGTAATTAAGTCGAGCATTATCGCATGGGCCAGCGTTTTCGATATGCTGCCTTGGTGAAAATTTATGGGCAAATGCATTTGTTAGCTATTTATAGACCGAACTAATGGCGTAGCGCTGCTGGTAAAGACGAGTTCATAACCTTACCTATGCATAACTCAGTTTACCCATAGCCCAATGTTATCAAACTGGCACAAGGGATAGATTACGATACTGTTAAGTGGGCCAGTGTCGAAAGAACTATGGATTTATTTTGACAAATGGGGTTGCTATAGGTTCCTCTGCGCTATTGATTAGTAATTGCCAAATACCCACTTGAATGGCATTTAACTATTATTGTTATCTTAGCATTACTCAAAGGTAACCCAGCACTAGCTCTGTAGACAGTCACCAAGCTCACAAAACCAGTAGATAACGTGGACAAACAGTTGCATACCAAATTGTAAATAAAGCAGCAGTGATAAAAGTACCATCGTAACTTATCGATGGCTTTCGTGATAGCCACCAAACTTTTAGAGCCCAAGCAAAAGGTTAGTGAGCACCTACATACCAAATACAATGTAGTGCTATTGTAACTAAGCTGAGAAGAACTACTGAAATTACTTTTTAGCTTGTGTACACCATAATACTTTCTTGTATCCAAAGCTCTGACGGTCCAACATTATACTAGACCAATGGAACTCAGCATGGGCTTCTCTGATAGACAACAAACTTTAAAACTCAAATAAAGAGATAAATAAACTCCCGCATGACAATTTGCAAAGCTCCAAGTCAAGCAGAGACCAAGCTGAGCTTCAGCGGCATATTTGCAGCATGAGTTCAAAGAGATATTTTTGAAAAAAACAATAAACACTCTTGGTTGTCGTGAGTCACCCGCGATGTTTTCGTGTGTCAGCGGGAAAGAGAGTGAAAGATCGCCAAGTGATTAAGTTCTGTATCTGACAGTCGCAGACTCACCTTTCAAAGTGCCAAGTTTGCGGAAATCGTAAATAGGAGGAGTAAGAAAAACATTCAATAGCTCGGATCGAAGAGGAAACTCGACGCCTCCGCAGGCGCCTCAAGTTGCACTTCGCGCTGCCTCAGCTTTTCGGCGAGCTGCTTTCCTTATCGCCGCGACTGTGTCATCAGAAAGCAATATAAAGAGCATGCCGCAGCAGTAAAGAAAATAATTTAACGACACCCAGCGAAATCGCGACAGCCAAAGAAAGATAGAAGATAGCAACAAGTCGCTGGGAGCCCGCTTGTTTACCTTGAGTTAGATGTTCGTGGCAGCGGAACCGCCAGCAGAAACCCTAAACTTTCAGCTGCACTTCTTATCACCAGCACAGTGCATTGACATTGTTGCACTTGCTGCTTTGCTGCTTTGCTGCTTTGCTGCTTTGCTGTGGTTGTTTTGGGAGCGTGTCCAAAAGCTTTTCAAAGTTTTCGCACAAGCAAACAAAAGTAAAAAGACTGCGCCAAGTCAACTCGACAGCTGCATTAGCTAATTGATCGCTTGGTCATTGAAAAGTGAGGCAAAAAGTAGTAGAAAATAATGTACAAATAAGAATTTTTGTATTTTCTCTTTGCAATCTTTTGATCAAAAATTCTATTTAATTTTAATTTTATTGAGAAATACTATTACTAAACAATTTAAGAGCCAATTTAAGTGTTTAAAAAGTAAGTTATTTAAAACCAACTTGACCCGCAGACCAATAAACGTGTGCAAGCATAAAAAAGGATTACAAATATTGATAAGTAATAAAGATATATGTATAAGTGTATTAGAATAGA